CAGGAGAGTGGGTGGCTGGAAGGCGGCAGGACCCGCTTTTGTATGCGGGGAGGTTGGAAAATGTGTGCAGGCGCCACCCACCCGGGGCCCGTGACCCCAGCGCCAGGTGGCTGTCGCCATGCGTCGGCCCCCGACTTGGGGGCCCTCCAGCCCGAAAACTACATCAGGCCGCCTGCCCGCCGTCCCAGCCACCCACTCTCCTGTTTCTCACCCAGACAACCACCCAGCACCATGGCCCCCACCTCCGGCAAGAAGCCCGCCCCGGCCAAGAAGGCCGTCAAGGCCCCCAAGGAGGGCAAGAAGGGCAAGAAGACGAAGAAGGGCACTGAGAGCTACAAGCTCTACATCTTCAAGGTGCTCAAGCAGGTGCACCCCGACACCGGCATCTCCTCCAAGTCCATGGCCATCCTGAACTCCTTCATTGCCGACCAGTTTGAGAAGATTGCCACCGCTGCGGCCCAGCTGTCCCGCGTCAACAAGAAGCCCACCCTGACCTCTCGGGAGATCCAGACCGCTGTGCGCTTGGTGCTGCCCGGCGAGCTGGCCAAGCACGCCGTGTCTGAGGGCACCAAGGCCGTGACCAAGTTCACCTCCGCCTAAGCGCAAGGCGCTCCGCCCCCAAACCCGCACAACCAAACAAAACTGGTGTTATTCAACACCACCACCGCTCACTGGGAAAGAATGTACTTTAAAGGGAGGAGAAGGGGGGTGGGTGGTGGCAGCATGCCCGCTCCCCTTCATAGGCAGGAGGCAGCAAGGGGTGGCGTTCAAGGGAGCAGCCTTGTGCGCGGCTGGGCCTGTGTGCTGTTCACAGCGCTGCTGATCTGCTCCACGCTTGATGCTGGGCTGCGAGTCGGCTGGCAGCGCTGCCTGAGTGCTGCCCGCAGCCGTTGCACAGCGCTGCGATCCAATGCTGAAGCCGCTTCTTCCAATCGCAGCTTCTCCCAGTGACAGGTCTCTCAGCGGCAAGTCAGGAATACAGTCTGGCGCCAGCAGGGCGGGAGACCCGCACCAAAACACGTGCACCCAAGCCGTGCATCGGCTTACGCGAACACAGCTGACCTGATCCTCAGCCACCAAGTACCGACAGGCGTGGTGAGGGAAGGGTTTTCCGAGGGGCAAGACGATGGCGAGCTGGTGACCCCACCTCAAGCTTCAGAGCGCCGCAAAGTGATCGATCTTTGTGCCGGTGGGGTTGACCAGGCCGCCTGCCGATCACTGGGATCGCCGGCAGAAACGCTTCTGCCTGTTGCGCCTTGCGGAGGCAGCAGGTGGAAGTGGGAGGGCTGGCAGACGGGTGTCCACCAAACCCCCACACCTGCGCCGCCGCCGACCGCCGCCTGCCCGCCTGCCTGCCGACGCGCGCTTGCCCGCCAAATCCCCGCCCGTCCCGCAGCCCAGCATGGCCAAGGCACAGCGCGAGTGGGCGGAGGAGCTGGCGGCCAGGCACCCGCTGGGGGCGGAGGAGGTGTCTGCCTTTGTTGGCAGCGTGGCCAGCAGCGCCGCGGGCGCCACCGACGGCGTGGCGGGCGGCAGCGCGGCTGCCAGCCTGGAGGCGGTGGTGCCTCTGGCCCTGTTCCTGTCCAAGTCCCTGGGCAAGGTGGGGGCAGCACGAGGCGTGGGAGGGGGCACCACCCACGCAGACCAGCGGCAGCAGGAGCAGGGTGGAGGGTGCAAAAGCGTCTCCCTCCTGCCCCTGCCCACCCACCCACTCCCCCCCACCTCCTGCCCTGCCCGCTTCCTGCAGTACCCCGATGCAGTGGTGCCCAAGATTGTGCAGGCGCTGCAGGCGGTGGCGGCCAGCATCCAGGCGCCGCCACCCGCCGCCGCCGCCGCCACCGCCGCCGCCGCCGCCGCCCAGCTGCCCGTGCCCAAGTGGGCGGCGCTGCTGGCCGCCGCCGTGTCGCAGCTGTGCGGCGTGCTGGGCCTGCTGCCGCTGCACGCGGACTGGAAGGCCCAGCTCAGCGCCGCGTTTGCAGGGCTGCTGCGCCAGCTGCTGTCGGCGGGGCAGCCGGAGCAGCAGCAGCCCATGCTGGCCGGCTTCAGGGCCGCCCTCACGGCCGGCAGCCAGCGGCTGCCGCTGACGGGGGGTGACGCTGCGCAGGTGAGGGGTGGTGTTGTGGTGGCTGGCCTTCGGGATGTGCTGACTGGGATTCGCTGGCGGGCGGGTGGTGGCGGCACAGCAGCCCTGCACGCCGCGCCGCGACGGTCTCGTCCCCACGCCTGCCGCCGCCCCCACCTGCTGCCCCCACCTGCCGCCTGCTCGCCCCGCCTGCAGCTGTTCCTGCACATCACGGAGGATCTGCTGGGACTGGGCGGCGGCGGCGGCGCCCCGTCTGCTGCTGCCAGCACGTGGCGCCAGGCTGGCGACCTGCCCTGGTCCCTGGCCGGCCAGCTGGCGCCGCTGGCGGTGCAGTCTGGGCAGCTGGGCGGGGAGCGGGGCGCCCGGGTGGCGCTGGATGCCTGCGGCGCCATCGAGCAAGTGCTGCGGCCGGTGCTGCAGGCCGAAGACGGCGGCAGCGGCGGCGGCGGCGGCGGCGAGGGTTCGGTGCAGGGCAGCCCCAGGCAACCCGCCGCGCTGCCCACCCCCGCCTTTGTGGCCGCCATGGCCAGCCTGGCGGCGCAGACGGCGTGCAGCCTGGCGGAGCAGCGGGGCGGCGGCGGCGCCGGGGCCGCCGCGGCCGCCGCCGCCGCCTCTGACGCCGCAGACACGCTGCTGGGCGTGTGCGAGGGCTGCGTGGCGGCGGTGGGGGAGGTGGGGGTGGGCGACCGTGCCTCGGACGCCCTCCTCAACATCTCCATCGCCCCCGCCCGCAACCTGCTGCCCCTGCTGGCAGCGGTGGGGCAGCGGGACGAGAACGCGCTGCCAGACCTGCTGCCGCGCCTGCAGGCGCTCATGGTGAGGCGGCGGCGCGGGGAGCCGGCGCCTGGGCTGCTGCTGCGCGGTGGCTGGGCGCTGCCTCAGCACGGCTCGTCGGCCCCGGCCTCCGGCACGCGTGTACCCGCCGCCGCCTGAGCCGGCTGCCCCTGCAGGCCGCCGCGGCGCGCCTGGCTGAGCTGGAGTACTTTCATCCCGGGGGCGACAACGGCGGCACGGCGCCAGCGCCGGCCGCCGCCCGCAGCGGCACGCTGGGCGCGCCTCCCACCTACGACACGGAAGCCAAGGTGCAGGCCCTGTGGGTGTGGGACCTGTCTCAGGACCTGTCGGCGGCGACAGAGGAGGAAAGCGGCAGCGGGCGGCGGCGGCGGGCGTGGCGGCTGACCCGCACCCTGGCCGAGGGCACCGCCTGCCTGCTGGCGGCCGCCTGGCAGCGCTCCCCCGCCGACCTCACCACCACCTTTGTGCCGCTGACGGGCTCGGCGCTGGAGCGGCCGGTGAGGTGCAGCGGCGCCGCCGCGCCCACGGCCCCACGCATGCCTGTGCTCACTGCACACCGCGTGTGCGCACTGCAAGGCTCCACGCTCGCGTCGCCGGGCTGGGCTGTGTGGCCTTCTGTTTTTAGAAGCAGAAGCAGCTTCCTGGTGCCTCACCGTGCCGCCGCCGCCGCCGCCTGGGCCCCGGCCGCAGGAGGCTGTGCCCACCCTGGGGCGCATGCTGGCGCTGGCAGACGGCGACGAGGACCTGGCGCGCCTGGTGGTCCCGCTGCTGCGGGATGCGCTGGCCTCCCAGACCAGCGGCGCGGAGGCAGAGGTGGGTGCGGGTGGGGCCGGCAGCGGGCTGCCAGCGCCCCGCCCAGCTCGGAGAGGCAGGGCACGACTGCAGGTGGCGCGCACTGTGCGCGATGTGCGCGCTGTGCACGCTGTGCACGCTGTGCGCTGGGACCCCCCGGCATGCTGCC